TCATGATTTTAAATTTTAATAAAATATTTAACGCTTTCCTATATATTAGAATTAGATATAATATCGATTTCACATTGAAGAACAATTATAGAAGATGTCATATCTATTCTACATAATATCTTAGTGGAGAGGTTTGTACCTAAAATATATTATAAGCATAAAAATGTAAAGATTCATTATAATGTAATTTGATTAAATAAATAAACGAATAATATACAAGTCTAGAGGGCGCTATTTCAGGTATCTAGTGTTCCATAAGCTTTTTCTCAGCTGAAAAATGTTCCGTGGCCAAAAAAGTTTTGGAAACGCCGGCTTAGTGTATTACCACGTACTATATAAACTTTTCATTAAAATTTGTAAAATTGACACGTAAAAAAATTTAATGAAAGATTTCTAAAAATGTTTGATACATCGATAGTTGTTTACTGTATTTAGAAAGTATTCAATACATTTTGTACAACTGAAGTGTAAAAAAACAAATCTTCAATTTAACCTTTTAAAATTGGGTGCGCATTATATTCAGGCAAATACGGTGTTTTCGTGGACGTTTACGTATTCATTACTAGGTCCTGATACGTAAAATACAATAATAATTCGAACGCTAGAATAATATAATAATAAATACAGTAATTTGTAAAATCTTTGGCTCGAAGAATAATTCTTTACAAAGTATTTAAATAAGCATTTTCTATCCTCTACCATCTTGGTTTCATCTCGAGCGGTATACCATAAGTTCGTTTTAGTGCGTGTTCGTATTAATAGAAAGAACACAAAGTTTTGCTTAAAAACAGGCAAGAACAGAAGATGTTTGATTAAAAATGTATTACTATAATGACCAAAAATATTTAAATTTTTAATGCAAAAACAAAAGGTTTATTTTAGATATGGAACTTTTGATAGGTATATTCGCTCTCATTTGTTTTACATACAAGTTTTGTGTATTTTGTAGTTTTCAAATAATTCCTCTCTTTCAAATGTATAAGTTAATAAAATATCTGTTGTAATTTGAAAATGTTCTTTTATAGTTTACATACACGAATCTGAATTACGAGACTGATCCAGCCTTACCACGTAGTTATTTGTAAGTCGAGCAACCGTTTCACGCTGTGAGCCAAATTAGAAGTTTGAACACTATTAACTGTTTCCCCTTAACTGTTAAACGTTGCAAATATCAGCATCAGGCTAATTATGCACCTCAGTAAGATTAAAATTACAGTTCTTGTTACATCGTGCTGTGTATACAGGTTTGTGGTATACATATGGTTTTATGAAAAGTCAAATGAATCAAACTCATTAAAATAATGTTTTGAATTATTCGATTGGTGATAAATAAATCCAAGATAAAATACAATACAAGAATTTATTCGAAAGCAACTCCAAGTGTACTCAGTAAACACGGTAAACAATTTTCAATAATGAATTCGAATATAAAACATCAGAGGATTTTGATTTGAAAGCATTCAGATACAGTGATTCGCAGTAATGTTATATATTCTTTGCGATCTGTTTATGTTGAGTTAATGAATGTTAAACTTCCTGTACACAATTATTTTAAAGTGCTTGAATGAACCAAGACAGATGATTTTGTCTGTAAGTTTCGGTTTCTGAACGTCTTTGGCACATTGAACATGAAATATGACAGTTTGAGTTATGTGCGTATACAAAAATTTATAATCCTGAAATCCAATTACGTGATGATTTATGCCATTACTTTCTACAAGCCCCTCTGTCGGGTAATAATAATACACTTATAGCGTTGTAAGTTATATAACGAGGTTTAACTTGGCTTTATAGACAATTTTGGAAGTAAGCGGACTTGAAAACTGATGCATTTTTTCGGTCATTACAGCTCCCCCTATAATTTTTTTCCGGTAACGTTGGTTTGACAGTGAAATCTATTTATCGTTTAAGAAGATTCGTTACAACGTGTCCGTCGGG